AACGGTTTCTGGGCCTTTTACTGACCATTGTGCCAAATCCTTCAAAACGAGTGACAAAGAAACCTAAAAGCAAATGTTTTGTCTAAAATTTCCAGTCTTAAACCACTTGAGATAATTGCAAGTAGTAAACAGAGTATGTAAATCATGACTTGCTGACAGATAACTCACAGAAACGACAGCTAAAGGGATGGAACAAATCACAGTGCTGGGCAGGTCACTGTGTTCTTTGTAAGTGCTGTAGGAGACCTGAAGCAACCATGCTGGAGCTTTCTGTGTTGGCTTCTGTTCCAGTTCGCTCATAAACCGGTTTGCATGATGATGGTGATGCCTGCCACAGCTCATTTGTGTACAGCAGCTCTCCTGGCTGTCAGCTCAGCTGGCAGCAGAGCAGCCGTGCAGTGCAGGTCACCTCCCATGGCCACAGTGACTGCAGGGCTGGCTCTGCTCTGTGCACTGTGATGGCCGTGCTGTTCGTGCTGGTGGTGCACAGCAGAATCAAGCTGAGCTCACTTGGCCGTCACCTCCCCCTATCTTCAGGTTACAGGAAAGAGAAAAAATATTGTTTGTACTTCTGTCCCTATAGTTCAGGCAACAAAATCACAGGAGCCCGCTTCGGATTCTTAATCTCATTTAAAGTCAGTGAATGTAAGGGGAAGTAGGCCAGGCTCTAAAACAGAGCAGGAAAATTCTTACTGTTTCATATCTCGCCCAAGATTCACATACAAAGGCACAAGGATGTGGCTGGATGTTAATAACAGTGTTGTAGCTATGGCATGCAATCAGCATACACTTGGGGCTATTTCTTTGCGGGGCATAAATTTAAATTGTCAGGCCGTGCCATGGAAATGCAACATTTGCATTTTCCTATCAGGATGTGCCAGGACGTTACACTGCAATCACAAATCATGAGGTAAGAAGGCGAAGAGGGAAGGAGCAGCCTAATCTACTGCGAATGACTTGCTGTTATGAAGCATTTCGAAAGGGCACCGGGAGATGAGGTAGGGCCCTAGAGAAGCTCCCCAACTGTTTCAGCAGCAGATAATATAATTTCTGTGCTCGCAAACCCTGGCTGTCCTCAGTAATCCTCCTTCCTATGAACGAGCCCATTTGCTTAATCGCTGAGGGACTGCGGCGTTGGTTTTGCATGCTGGATCTCAGAATGATGGACGTGGGCATGCAGGACGTGCCTCCCACATTCAAGTCAATGTCACCATTCTTTGGTTTTCCCATTCCTCTGAACATCCAGGCTTCCCGCATCTGTTTTTTTCTTTCTCTGTTTCACAGTTACTCCGTAGTTTCCTCTTCATTGCATGAGATACATTTCTTCCAGTAGCTCACAAGGGCTGCAAGTAACATCTGTCTTGTTTCATCCGTTCTCACATTCGTTCCGTGGGGAGGGCTGTGTGTGCAGCACAGTTTTCATTTTGGCAGGATTTTTTTTTATTTTTTTTTAAAGCCAACAGTATAAACGGTCTCCTCCCTGCAGATCGTGTGTTTAAATTAGGAGAAAGCAGATCAGGCTGCCTGCGGACAGGGGGAGGGGAAAGATTTATGGTGCTTCTGAATTCCCGTGGGAGTTTCCTAGCGGGCCCCTGTGAATCTGCTGAGCCCCGCAGAGTTGAACCTCACCCATATGCGAAGCTTCTATTTCACAGGAGGAGCCATCAGAAGTGCCACCGTTGTCGCTGTCCCAGAGCTCCGGGCGATCTTTCAGATATGCTGCCTTAACAAACAAAAGCTTGAACCCTCCTGCAGCCATCTCCCCGGCTCCTGCTTGGTCATTTCCTCCCCTGAGCACGTCCTGCTGGCTGGCCTTGCCTCGTGCCTTTTGTGCCTGTTCCTAACCTGCTGGCTGCTCGGCAGCCTCTGCGCTCCCTTTTTCGTTCTCACTTCAGCCTTGTATCTGGGACGCTTTTCCTGGCACCCTTCCCAAGTTCTCCCGCTGCCAGCTCGGAGTCAGCACGAGCTTCTTGTCTTCCCTTTCAATTCCTTTTCTATCATGGCAAATAAACCCACTGTCCTCTACGCATACACTATTGATATTATCCTTGACAGATCTTCACTCCTGGCACTCAGCTGCTGCTTAATCATACAGATTCCTCCTCTGATTCACCTCATGTGCTCTTGCAGCCAGCAGCTTGTCTTTGATTTGGCAGTGTCACAACGGGAGCGCTGGGATGCCCTCCCTCATTATCCGATTCTCGCCCCGCATGCCCCGTCATTAGCACGCTCCTATTTCACTCAGCTATTCGGGCTGGCGACGTGCCACCTCCTGCATCCCCTGCCTCTGCCTTTCCGCCCCACTGCCACTGCCTTGCTCCTTTATGCTCCCCCTGATTTTATCGCTTTCACGCTGCTTTGCAGAGCTGCTGTTGCTCTGCTATTGCTTTGCACGGGATGACCTGCCTGACCTTGGTTCCCAGGTAGCCCTCAGATCCCCCCTCCAAACACGCTTCCACTCTCCCAGGAGGATCTCGTTCTTGTGACATTGGTAAGGTGAGGAGGGGGGGAGGGGGGAGCAAACCAACCAAACCTAGCAAACAATATGACTCGAAAACAGGAACTAACACGATGTGCACGCAGCACCAGAAATAACCTCGCTGCCGTACGCAGCACAAACCCTGTCCTTCCCCTGACCCCTCCCCTGCACGTCTCCTGCCATCTCTCCTCGCTCTGTCGGCCGCTGCTCTCACAGCCCCGTACCTGCAGCCCCGCCATGCCGCAGCCCCCCGGGGGGTTCTTAGTGCTGCAAAACTGCCTCACTGCGCTTCCACGCATGGAAGGGCAGCCTGGAACAACAGGGCTGGTATAAAAATACGATATTTTCCTTTAACCTAGAATAATACTGCAGACAAGGATTCACCCTTGTGCCCCGTGGCTGCTCCTGTGTTGTGTGAAGAGCGTGTTTGTGTTTATTAGCCCTTTTCCCTAGCTGCCCCCTGGCGTGGACTTTGCTCCTCCGGGCTGGGATTTGCAAGCGACGGGAGGCTTTCCACGTGTGTTTGAGAAGGTACAAAGCCTGCAGGAAAACAATGGAAATAGCTGGCTTATGACTGCTGCGTGTCACGCACTCGTTTCTCGCCTGTTGGTTTGTCCTTGGAGCTGCTCACGCCGCCTGGAACCCGGTCAGGAGCGGCCGCGGTGATTGGGGCTGGCACGCACGTTGGTCCGCAGCTGCGCCACGTAGGGAGCAGGGCCAGCTCCCGCCCTGCCGTCTGCGGGCAGGGGGTGCTGAGGTGCCCCCAAAGCACAGCCACAGCCCTGCTGCAGACACAGGACTGGCAGTGGGCTTCTTGCAGGGAGTGGTTGCTGAGAGCACGGCGTGAGCTGCCTGTCCTGTGTGATGTTTCCCCTGGGGACCCCCAGATCTTGAGTGCAGCAAGGAGAGCCCTGAGCTGAATGCTTGGACCCTTCAGCCCCCATGACAGTCCCCTCACAGCCCCCCATCTCAGTCCCCTCAGCCACCACGTCAGCCCTTTGGCAACCCCCTCATGGCTCCCCACAATACTCCTTTTATTACTTGGACTTTCTTCCCACAGCCCATCCATGTCAGCCCCTCACGGCCCTCTGTCCATACTCACCTCCTCCCCCCCCCTCCCCCTCCCCCCCCACCCCCGGTCCCCACGATGCCGTCCTCCCAGCTCTCACATCCATCCCCTCAGCCCCACCCCATCTCAGCCTCCCCAGCCCCATGGCAGACCCTTGCAGCCCCACATCTCTAACGGTGCCCAAATCCATCCCTCTGACCCCACTTCAATCTGCTCAGTCCCAGGTCAATCGCAGCCCCCTATCCATCCTCTCAGCCACCCCTCAGCTCTCTCGCAGCCCCTACGGCGGTCCCCTCGGCCACGTGGCAGCGCAGCCCCCGCACCGATCACCCCGACCCCCACACGCGTCCCCTCAGCCCCACGTCGGTCCCAGCCCCGCGTCCCTAAGATCCGCACGGCATCCCCCGGCCCGGGGCCACGCGGGGTCGGGCACGGAGCGCCGCGTGCCGCCCCGCCGCTTTCCCGACAGCCGCGCCGCGCTGATCTCATCGCCGCGCCGCACGGCAGCGCTTCCCCGCACGGTACGGGCGGCCATCGCGTGCGAGCCGCTTCCCCGCCCCCCGCCCCGCCGCTCCGGCAGCACGCAGGGCGAACAGCTGCTGCGAAGGCGCCGATCAAAGCCTCGCGCTTGGCTTTTCGCACCGCTCCTCATGAAATACCTCCAGCCCTTATTTATTTATTTATTCTTTCTCGCTCGCTCGCTCGCTTTCTCCTGACCTTTGGACATCTGTTCCCTCTGCGTGCGACCGCGCGATTACTTCGTTAACTTGGGGTGACGGCCCCGGGGAGGGGACGCAAGCTCCTTATCCCCCGCCTCGCGGAGCGGCGCGGGGAGCCGACCCGGGGCTGCCAAGCCGGGGATTAACTGCGCCGCGCCGCCCGGGGCCGGCACGCAAAGCGGGAGCGGGTCACGGCGGGGCACACGCGAGGCGGCGGCGGCCCCGGGGAGAAAGAACCCCGCCGGGCGGCCGTCCCGCCGCGTCCGTGCCTTTTCTGATGCTCGCGTCTTTTCCCGGTTGACGCCGTTTGGTCGCTTTGCTGTAAGCTCGGCGGGTTTGGCCCGGAGCCGGTTCACGCAGAGGTTGAGCAGATGGCTCGCGTTCTGACACGCCGCTGACCCGGGCCGGGGGGAAAACACAGCCAGACGGCTCGCGGGCTTTGCGGGCACAGCGCGGCGGTGTGCGGCGCTCGGGGAGCGCGGAGGCAGAGCCGGTAACTTAACCGGGGGGCTCCGGTGAATGAATGATGTCACTATACGACTGAGATAACGGGGGGGGGCTCAGGTGATGACGTCACTGTACGACTGAGATAACGGGGGGGCTCAGGTGAATGAATGACGTCACTGTACGACTGAGCTAACTGGAGGGGGGGGGTTCAGGTGAATGACGTCACTGAGGGGCTGAGGTCACTGAGTGCGTTCCCGCGCGCTCCACGTTCCCTTCGCGGGTGCGCGCCGCTATCACGTGACGCACGCACGCACGCGCCGTTGCCGTGGTGACGGAGGAAGCCGTTGGGGCCGGGAAATGGCCGCCCCCAGCGCCCGCGCCTTGCTGGGCCTCGGCCTCTCCCTTGCGGTGCGGCTGTGTGTGCGGGCTCACAGGCTGTGCCTCCCTCCATTCCCTCCCTTCGTCTCCCTTCTCCTGGCCTTCAGGCAGAGCGCGCTCTGACTGCCCGAGCTCTGTCGGTTCCCCGGCCATGCAGCGGCACGTCCCTGTGCACGCCTTGCCCGAGGCGATTCAGAAGGTACGGAACGGGAAGGAGCGGCGAACCTTGTGGGGTCGGGACCTGCAGGAGTGTTCTGTTGGCCTCAGAGCGTTGGGAACCACAGAGCGTGGCTTGGTTCTGGGTAGGGCTGGTTTTGTCACATACGGAGTGTGGTTACGGGCAGTAGTGCTAGATGTGATTCTGCAGGTGTGCTCACAGGAACGCATTCACTGTATGTGCTGCTGTCGATAGCAGGTGAGGCTCCAGCTTTATCCCACACAGCGTGTTCTGTGCCCTAAGTTTGGAATCCATCAGCAGAAGGTTGGCCAGCAGGGACAGGGAGGTGATTGTCCCCATCTGCAGTGCTGCGTCCAGGTCTGGAGCCCCCAGTACAAGAAAGACAGAGAGCTGTTGGAGAGGGTCCAGAGGAGCCACAGAGATGATCAGGAGCTGCAGCACCTCCCCTATGAAGGCAGGCTGAGGGAGCTGAGCTTGTTCAGCATGGAGAAAAGAAGGCTGTGGGGTGACCTCATTGCAGCCTTTCTGTACCTAAAGGGAGCCTACAGAGGGGAGGGGAGTCAACTCTTGGAAAGGGTCGATATCTGCAGGATGAGGGGAAATGATTTTAAGTTGAGGGAGGGAAGATTTAGGTTGGATGTCAGGGGGAAGTTCTACACTATGAGAGTGGTGAAGTGCTGGAACGGCTGCCCAGAGAGGCTGTGGATGCCCCATCCATCCCTAGAGGTGTTCAAGGCCAGGTTGGATGGGGCCATGGGCAGCCTGGGCTGGTATTAAATAGAGAGGTTGGTGGCCCTGTGTGTGGCGGGGGGGGGGTTGGAGATTCATGATCCTTGAGGTCCCTTCCAACCTGGGGCATTCTGGGATTCTGTGAATGCCTACATGTAATCGTTCTGAAGAAGTGCAAATGCAATTAGGAACAGAACATTCTGCCTAATCCTCTCTCTGTATCTTCTCACTGTGTGTGAGGGTGCTCTTTTTTTGGGAAACCGATTCCTACCGAAGTAATAAAGCTGTTGTTTGTAGGGGGTATCCAGTGGGCAGGCTGTGTGCACGTGATGATGCACGTGAGTGGAACACAACTCACTTCTTGTTACACTCTGAAGCTTTCACTTTGACACTGAAACCACCCAGCTGTCCTCTATTTATTTATTTATTTATTTAATTATGTGTATCTACTAATCAACAAGTAATCTAAGCATTTTCTCTGCTTAGGCTAGCAGAGTCTGCATAAATTCTTCCTGAAATAGTCAAGAATACCATTGAGACAGTTTCTGAACCATCAGTGATGATTGCAGAAAATTCAGAGATTGGGTAAGATAGGCAAAGCAAGAGAAGGAAAGTACTTAGGTAAGGGGTGAACCTGGGAATCTTATAGAGCCACCAGCAACTTTCTTGGCAGCAGGAAATCACTTTTTGTTTATTTGGAAATCACTTTGCAAGCATCAGCAGGATAAGCTGGTTAGGAAAAATCAGTGCAAGTTTCTCAACCAAGCAAGCATGCCAAGCTAAGAGATGAGGTTCAGTGGAACATTGTTCCAGATCCAGTACTGCTCTGTGCTTTCCCATGACTTGAAGCTGTAGCTAGTGGCCCTTCAGCCACCTGTCTTTCTCTTGGCTTGGTTCCTGATCTAGTTCCCAATCAGAGTGCTGTGCATGTGCTGACATGAGGAGGAGGCAGGTGTGAGAGCAGGCACAAACTGGGCAGGAAGTAGGTGACCTTATTTCATCCAATGGGATTGTCAGTGTTTGCTAGTTTTTGTTGACCTGGGTTTTAGCTTACAGTAAGGAACACACTGGTGCTAATCTAGGAGGGATTGTGAGTGCTTTGTCTGCAGCATTAAGAATATCTTAGTAAGAACAGGGCATATTTAGAACAAATGGGTCAGATCCATTAATACAAAATATGCAGCATCAGGAAGGCATTAATACAGGAATTGCGTGTGAAACTTGGCCTCAATTATCTTCTCATCAGAGCTGCTGAGGTGTTGGTTCTGAACTGCAGACTTGAAGAGTAACACTGCTGGTGGGATCTAGAAAGAGCAAAAGTGGCAAAGAGCTTAAAAGCTCTGTTCTGCTAGTAATTGGCAATAAAACCAGATTTGCTTTTTATAGAAGATGCTTGAGGGCACAATAACAGTATTCACATGTGTAGGAAGGCAGTGGCTGTCTTCCACCTCAGATACAAATTAATCTTATCTTCACTGTTCTAGACATGCTTTGGTTGAATGAGAGGAACTCCAGAAATTGGGGTAGTGAGCACTGGAGCAGCTCACCCAGGGAAGCTGTGGAATTCTTCCTGTGCTGCTGCAGAGGGCAAATAAAGCCAATTTTTGCTTTGGAGTGGAGCACAGAGCTCAAGAGCTCTGTTTCAGCTCTGTGGTGTCCTGTTAACAAAAACATCTCTGTGCAGAAGGTGCTTCTAAATATGAACACGAGTATTCTCAAGTTCCTGTCCCATCCCGCCCAGTCACCTCAGTGTGAGATACATGAGTTCTAAGGCAATGACAGGCCAAGACTTTGGGATCAGTTAAGAGCCGTGGTTTTACACATCCTCTGCTGCTGCTCAGTTTCTTCACTCAGTTGTAGTTACAAGGTAGGGGCTTGGTTACCTCGCCCTCACAATTTCCTGTATATGTATTTTTTTTACCTTTTATGTACACATTCTTATTCCCTTCACATTCTCTGCTTCTTAGATTTTATAGCATCTCTTTTGGAATCTTTCAGTTTGCTCCTAGCATAAGTAGGACTTGTTCCAGCTGTAGCTCATTGTGCCTGACAGAGCACATGCTCCCAACATGCAGCTAACTGGCCAGTGGAACATATGTATCCAGGGGGAGTAGGTTAAGCACTGCAATTTCTGCTGCAGAATCAAGAATGCTCAAGGCTGGGTGCTGGTTTGGGTTGGCTTGCTCGGCTTGTGATGCTGCAGTGCTCAGAACAGATCAGAGTAAGGGATGCAGAGCTGTCATCGTTTCTCTCTTCCATGCTGTGGGTGCATGGAGCTTTGTGAGTTGTCAGCACTTTGAGCAGCAATATCACTGCCTCCAAAACAATGCTCTTCTGGAGGATGTGGTGCTGAGGGATAGAAATACAGCCTATCCTGCAGGCAGCTCAGTTGCCAGAGTCTGCCTGGGAGGAAGACCTGTTGCAGTGAAGCCACGGATGCTGTAGCAGAAGCTGAAATAAATTGGCAGGCTGGGCCCAGCAGGTATTGACCACTACATTTATTAAAACTTTAAAGGTTTTAATCTAGAGAGGAAGAAGCTTCTTGACATTTTGTTATTAAATGATAGATGAGGAGGGACTTAGTTGATAAGAACTTGAGGAACCTTTGGCTTTGAAAATCATGTAAGAACTTTAGATGGCCCTGGTTCTCTGTCTCCCCCTTCTACTGCCTTTGTGAGCTCTTGTGCCATACACATTGCAAGATGAGTGCTAAACAGATAGGGAAAAACCCAGCAGGTAAGTGAGCATCCACGTGTCCTTTCAGTGTGAGTAGATTGCCAGTTTTTCATCTCAGTGAAGCGGGAAGCAAAACTGCAGCCACCTACAGAAGAGGGTCAAGTGACACCCTGAGTCATCAAAGCAGCAAACAAAGTTACATCTCATTTTATATCTTACTTGGCAATAGGTGATCCTTACTTAATACCAATAGCAAAATTAATTGGGCACGAGATATCCTTAAGTATTAGCAGTTCTCATCCTGGGAGCTTAAGAAAGTGAACGAAACAGGAGCTTTGAAGCTGTGTTGTACATCAGTACAGGACGTTCCATGGTATTTGACTCTCCACAAAACATCATGTGCATTGCTAGCAGCAAGTGGTTACTGATTAGATTGGCCACGTGTGCTATAGATTGAGTGCACTATGGCGTCTTTATGAACACATCTTTCCTTACTTTTCTTTGCTCCCTTTGAACATGGGATTATTTTTCTTTCCATAGGTTCTTACACAGTTCCAGCTGTGTTAATTAGCTGAAGAGTCAAAGCTGTCCTGTCCATTGAGACTGACTTTGTAGATGTGGCGTGCAGTGTAGCTGTGTGTAATACTTGAAGCAGTGTTGATACCAACAGCAGTTTAGAAGCAGCGCTGTTTCTGCTCACTCCCTCTGGATGAGCACAGTGATGTAATGTGAATGTTCTCAGTGGCTGTAATGTGCTTTGGAAAAGATAGCAAATTTCTGCTTGTTTTTGCTAAAAGCCACGTATTGCAGCGTACAGAGATGTGCAGCTCTGCTGGCTGAGCTGTGGGGCTGTGGTTGCTTTGGCCTAACTGGATTAGCAACCTGCTATGTTGCCAGTGTTTGTTGGGGTACTGGAGGATTTGTAGGAGCAGTTCTTCTGAACGTGGATAATGATCTTCAGTTCTGAGAGTTCTGGAGTCACCATGAGGTGTTTTGATCTCTTGCTGTATTCATACAGGGCTGGGGCTGTACTCACTGTGCTCAAGTGTTCCTGCATCCTGTCCTGAGCCAGCATCCAAGCACGTTGCTGGGAGCTGCAGGGATTACAGGAGCCCTTGCCTCATGAGCAGCGCGGCCTGCGCGGCACCGTGGGCATGTGGTCGGTGTTAGCAGTGCTCGTGTGGGGCTCTGCTGTTACTTGCAGTGCTGTACATCTTTATGATTCATTAGTCTGCTTTAAACGCAAGCAGGAAACCATTAAAGCTACCTGAAATATGAGTATTATTTCCTGTTGTGGCAAACTAATTATCTCGGGGCATATTTTGAATGAAATGTTTGGGACTGGGGCATTCTGTTTTTACTGCAATCCTTAGTGGTATTTATATGTATTCGAGGCAAGTACTGTGGCTTGTATTTTGCATCTGCTGCTTTTATGGATGTTGAGAAAATAATTATGTAGGCAACATGGCTTAGCATTGCAACCTGCAGTGGCTCAGCATTGCAGCATGGAATGCTTTCAGACTTGATGCTGGCTGCAAACTGCTCACAGAAAACTGTATTTTTAAAGAAGTGAAATTTCAACAGGGACTCTTAGAATCCTTCAATGAAAAAACAGATAATTTCTATCAGGTAACTCTTTGCACATGGAGCAGAAATCTCCACTGTCTTCCTAGAGTATTATTTGTGTGGCTGCCGAAACCATTTCTTTTTGTGTGACAGATCCCAGGTAGCATGCTAGAAGAGGGAAAATGGAGTGAGAGAAATGAAAGTAGTGTGGCAGAGGGGGTTAAAATGAGAAGAAAGTGCATTCACATAATCAGGTCAAATCAAACAGGCAGAATAAAACCACCAGCATACAGGAATAATTTAAGAGTGCACAACTGCAATGTCATGCAGTTCTGTTTTCTGGAGTTCTGTGTGTTGCTGTGGGACGAGGGCAGCTCAGACAAATGCAGTGTGGTGTTGGTTTTGTCTGCTATTGGGCCAGTTCTTGCTTCAGCAGCCTCAGCTTGCTGGGGCAGATGGGACAATTAGTGCAGCATTGTGTCCCAGGGGCACGGAGTGCTGCCATCCCCCAAAGCTCTGCCTCCCTGCGCTGCTGGAGTACGTAAGTGTGGTGCCTCAGTGCTCCTGGCCCTGTGCCTTCATTTCATGGGCCACATGGATGTACTCCAGACTTCTTAGATAATCTCCCTGCCTGAGGACTTAAGGTCTCGCTTTTAGGTGTCACAGCTATTTCTCAGTTTCCTTCTATTGCCTGTTTCCAGCATCGGTGGCCATATTCTGGGCCCTTAATGCCCAGGTGCTGCTGAGTCCCTAAGGAGATGCTTTTCCTTTAATGAGAACTTAGGTCTTTAGTGTTTGTTGTCAGTGGAATTGGAAATACAAGCAGAAGAAAGCACAGTGCCCAAGTCAATGCCCCCTGTAGCGTTTTGGTCAAGCAGAAATGATGTCAATTCCCATCCTGCTACTTCAGAAGCTTGAAAAGAAGCTTGTTATTCAAAGGGCTAAAAATGGGCCAGGCCACCAGTCTTTTTTTCCCCTTATAACTTATGCTGTCCGTATGCTCGCAGCGTTGAGTCAGACAGATGTGACTACCCATCTCCACTGCTCCTGGGAGCCGAGATCCATGTAACCATGGAGTAACAGGAGTTCTTCCAACACTGAACACAGCTCTCGGTCAGAACTACTCCCACGGATGCTGTAGTGGAACAGCTGCTGGAGCAGCACAGCTCGGGGTGCTGCCTCGTGATGTGGTTTGTTCTGGACGTAGCTCTCATCCTTTAGAGCATCTGGTGTAACGGATGTCAGAGCCGTAGCTCAAAACCTTCCTTGTTTCAACGTTTTGTCCTCAGCGAGTTTCTTTGTTTCTCCTTTTGCTGTGAGCACACAGTACTGTTCTGCTAAATCAAATATCAGGGTTGCTTTTGGTATCCCTCTGTTATCTTTTTATGTCCTATTTGCCCTCGGTATCCCTGTTCAGGTTGACCAAACCCACGATATTGAATCACCTTCAGGTTTTAAAAAATCTCATTTCTTTTTCTGTTCACTGCTTATCCTCACAGTCTCTTTTCTGTTGCACTTCTGATTTTTTTTTTTCATTTTCTGTTCTTTCCAAACTGGGTTTTGTTTTTTTTTTCCTCTTATCTCAAATGCAAACAGGAAAAAGATGATGACAACAATCCTTTGGTCAAATGTAAATAGGAAAATATGGAATCAGCACAGATCTCCTAGTGGTTACTCTGTGATGATCCCCTCCCAGAAGAGGCAGCTCTGTAAGCAAAAGAACTAACAAAGATGTGTTTCCTATGTGCTTGTGCATAGAGGCTGGTGAGCCTTGGTGCCTTGGGTACCAGGAACAATCTCGTGGGATCTTCTCCTGCACAGACCTGCATAAAGTTCTCCCTGCATGCATTGCCTGCGCAGGGTAATGGGACTGAGCCGTGCTCCAGGGCATTCCTTAGTAAGGGATCAAGCCCTTCGTGCCCACCTGGCTGTGTGACACCTGTAGAGCACAATACTCGTGCCCTTGGTGCCAGGGTCACTGATAAATGACCAAACATCCTGGTTCACAGTGACTGAAGGATGACCACAGAGAACTACATGCACAAACAAAGCAGTCTTATTTCTCTGGAAAACTGTGCAAAGCCCAAATCCGTCTCGTTTGCAAGTCATTTTGAAGGCGTGCTAATGCTCTCTGGCTTCAGCCTTTGAATCAGTGGAGCTGCAAGATGGCTTTGTTGCTGTGTTGGTGGAGTGAGATCAGCACCTGCAGCACAGCTGTGTTCCTCTGTTCCGTGCTCCAGGAGATGCTTTGGGTGCCGGTGAGGAGAGCTCTGCTTTGATGCTGGCAATGAAAACTAAGGAGAGCTGGGTGAGCTGGTGTTATGGTGGTGTTTTTCAATCCTGGTACCCAGAGAAATTCCTATAGCTGTTTGTTTGAAAGGCAGAAGTGCTGCAGGAGAGCACGATATTCTTTGGGGGATAAGAGCCCCCTCTCTGTCCTCCTTATAACAGCTCATTTTGTCCCTTTTCAATAGAGTAATTTTAGTGCTCTGGAACCTAACGATGTTTATCCTGAGTAACAGTTTCATATTTCCGAGCACGGTTTGCAGCTGCCAGGAAAAACAAGCTTGGGTTTTCAGTTCATTCAGAGCAACTGTAAGGAGGAGAGTTTTAAACAGGGGCAAAACTTAGAAACTGGAAGATAAAGTTTGGTCTGGAGATTCCGGGGCAGCCTGAAATATTGTTTTTTTCTCATGCTGTATCTAAACTGTGGGGTAATGGATCTCCTCACAGTTTGTTTTTGAGAGCTGTTTTCCTGCCTCTAAGCATTGCTTATTTCCATTTATCCCAGTGTTTCAAAATGTCCTTGTTTTAATTTTCTAGAACACAAGGAATTCTTACATTTTACTCATTTCTCTTAAACTGTTTGCAGTCTTTCATTTTTTTGACTTTTTGTAAGGCATTTTGTTATAAAACTTGTAACTGTTGATAACTGCTTGATAGGCTGAAGGCTGCTTTAAATGCTTATTGGACAAATAACTACAGCTCTGGCTGCCATCAGTTTCCAACTGCCGTACCTCAAAGCTTGCCCATAACTTTCTGTTGCTTGGAAGTTGTCCTTCAGCTGTGCAACGAGTGTCCTCTGCTCCAGTCACATTTCTGACTGTTTCCTCACAAACGCATCTGTGCTGCTATCCAAGAATGGGATGCGTTCCAGAGTGGCAGAATGAGAGCAGCCCAGGATGGAAGGAGCCTGAGGAGATCCCTCAGCACAACCCTTGGTCACAGAGGGAGCCAGAAGGGACAGGGAATGGGATCCTGCCTGCTTGTGTCCCGCTCTGTGCTTGCATGTCCCACGTGTGGTGTCACAGTGCTGCGTGGCTCTGGCTGGCTCAGTCAGTCTGTATGCCTTTCTTGGGCAGGCTTGGTCCTGTGTCACTGTAAGCTGAGTGGTTTTGCTTTTTGTTTCCTGGAAATGAAAGTGGTTACAATACACAGGGATAACTGATACCCTGAGTAGCAAGGGTGAATCAAAGTCTGAGCAGCCTGGTCATTTCTGTGACGTGTCGCTTACTGCAGAGCTCAGCGATTTCATTGCTTACAAGAGTGTTTCCCACTTTAATAGATGGTGTTTCAATTAATGTCTTCAGGTACTTTACCAATGATGAAATTTCATATCTAGCAAACTGCTCACACTTTCCACCACATTCAAGTGCCGTTTGCACTGTATCACAGTGGCAGGACCCTTACTTGGGTTATTTCTGTAGATGACTGCATTACATTACATTACACTACTTATTTTTCCTTTTGCCTTCTCAGCTGGGTGTGAGTTGTCAAAAAAAAACACAACCACAGTAATTAACATTTTTCTGGCTCATGCAAGAGAAGATTTCATTAAAGAGTGAACTTAGCAAAGCACAGAAGGCTTCATCTTATTTAAAATTAATGTATTAAACATAGCTCAGAAATATTTCAGTGTAGAGTTCTGGAGGAAGCTCCTGCATAGTAAACTGCATAGCTGATTATCCTGTGAAGATTCTGGTGAGCAAAAGTACAATCTGATCATAAACGTTCCAAAGTGTTACAGAGTTTAGACTGTGTTTAAATCATGTCAGTGGCTCTGATTTTGTCACTGCATTCAGCTAGTTTCTTGCAGCACTCTAACAGTTTCCTCTCTCCCTAGATGTCTCGGGACCAGACGGTGTGCAAGTACTGTGGCGTCAGCTATTTGATACTGCATGAGTTTAAGGTGATGGAAGAAAAAATAAAAGCAATGGAAAAGGAGATTAAGTTTTATGAAGGAAGTCTAGAACGGGAAAAGGGACTTCAAGAAGAACTGCAGTCCCTTTACCAAGACCTTGAGCGCTGCCGAGCTGATGGGAAATCCAAAACAGAAAGGTCAGAGCATGTTGTCCAGTGTGATGTTTTTCCTCATGTGTATGTATTAGGTCACGTCATTCCCAAGAAGTGAAAACTACTAGTAAGTTTTATCTTTTTTATCAGATACAACAAATATACTGTAATATTTAAATCACACTTTGTGGCGTTCTCTAGACATGAGTTTTGAGTTCTGTAGTGGTTTAGAAACAGTCAACATGCTTAAAGGAGAAGAAAGGCTGGAAGGCAGTTTGGGGGTATTTCCCCCCCCGTGCCAGTCCAAGTGAAAATGATCAAATATTTCACCTTATCATTTTGTCATTAAAACATTTGTAATACTTCTGAAGAAATCCCACAGCCCAGGAGTTTCACCATTCTGAAGTTTGCACTTACTGTCTCATAGTAACACTAAACATCAGCGTTTGTGCCCTGAGAAGCTCACAGTTCGCTGTATGTATGATGATATAGAAAAGCAAATGATGATACAGAGCACTAAAACAATTCTGAACAGTTCTGAATGTCTTGGGAGCTGCTCGTGGCTGTGCTCCTCTGAAGTAGGAGCCTGCAAACGCTTACTGCTTTACTGTTGCAAAGGTCCTCCTAGTTCAAAGGGGTCTTTTGTATTCTCCAGAATTCCAGTACTGCAAAAATGTCTTTGTGTTCAAGTGGAACAACAGTTAGAACAGTGTGGTACGAGCAGAGGAAGCAGAAACTTGTTGGTAATTCCTTGCTCATCTGAATCACGCTGTCAGAAGCTTGAATATGGGTCAGTCCTTCTGGTTCTAAGGGCTCCCATTCCTCGTGTGACTGACTTACAGCTAGCAGCAATGGACCTAAGCCTGAAAATACAAAGCATTTGGGGTATGTAGGTGCTCTCCTAGGAGACTGGGAACCCTGGAGGAGAAACAGCTATGGATTGTTTGTAGCTGAAGTGCTCTCGTCCATTTACTTTATCACTTTGTTTTGTGAATCACTCAAATACTGTAGCACTTGGACATGGCTGTTAATGACTTCTGTTTAGGACAGCATTTGGTAATATAGCAAATAAAACATTCATTTGAACACACAAGTTCGCACAAGCGTGAATAAGACACACATTTTGTGCTCACCCTGCTCATAACTGTATTTCAACACTTTTTCATTGGAGCTGAACTGCCTCCCCCCCAAATTGTCAATGTTTCTTTGGTTTGACAGCATGTTTCTGAAGTGCGTTGCTCCTTGTTCCTCCCAGGGCTCTGGGTGGCAACTGTAGCAGCAACAGCACTCTGTGTGTTAGCAGGTAGGTGACAGCGTGTTCCTGATGAGGGCCGTTTGCCACAGCAGGAATTACATTCTCCTTTAGCTGACTTTTTGTAGCAAAGCCGGAAGAGTTAATGAAAATTTTATCTCTGCGTTTTTCCCCCTAAGGCTTGATTTGATTTAAAACCTGCTGAAATGAAACGGAGTACTTTCAGTAGGCTTTCATTCAGACCATAAATCAACTATTGTGCCTTGTTAAATCAGCTGTCTAAATATTCCTTATCTCCTTTGTACTGTCCCGGGTCTGCCGTGTTCCCTTGGGCCGCTGGCACAAGCTGACTGCTCGGCGTATTAGCTTCTTCCTGGTTCTTGTTGACAAATCTCTCTTCCCAAACTGCAAGCTTTTATCAGAAACCAAATACACCCTTTTTCATCTCTGGTAGACCAAGAGATTTAATCTTTCTTGTTAGATGCAGCCGGTTTCATTTTTATATTCCTTTTTGGTTCCTGTGTTGCTATTGTCTGTACCTGTGGTTAACCTTGAAAGCCGCCTGGGAACTTCAGCTCTTGTGGAACTTGGTCCCCTGCCCTTCTGGGACTTGCTCAGAAGAAGGGGAATTGTCACAGGCTTACCACCCCATCTTCTGGAGGTGCAGGTGTGCTGGAATTGAGCCCCTCTGCATGGGAGCCCTGCGCTCCCTGGGGCTGAGCTTACTGACCTCACTGCACGTGGGTACCCTCTATTTACAGGACCCATGTGCACGTATCACCCACAGCCTGATCATTTTTCTAACTAGCAATCTAAAAGATATAAAATAGGCTTAAAAATGCTTTTTAAAGATGACAGTGCTGAGCAACATGGATGTGAGAAGAAGCAAAAACATCTTATGATGTATAGAGACCAGAAGAAGTATATAGATATCACCATGTAAGGCTTGTCTAAGATCCCTTGTAAATGTATTCCTGAAAACACTTTTTACAAATCAAGCAGAAGGAGTTAACTGTTGATTACTGCCATGCCTTAACATCATTTCTTTTCTATGCAGTTATCAAATTGCTCGTAACTACAATCTCCTTTTTCAATCTTCCATTCAGATAACTCCACTCCCTTAGAAGTGATTCCTGAGTGAAGCTGTGAGGGCAGAGATTCAGTAGGTTGTAATTACTGGAGCTGAAATTGGTAGCCAGATAAGTAGCACTGGGAAATAAAATACTGGCTTTCTTCAGAGATGGGTTTTGAGCTGGTTGTGATGAGGCAGCCATCTTTGTCATCGTTTGCCAGGCTGATGTGCAGCTTTACCTTTGCTTGAATGCAGATAATCCAGACTGCCCTCACAATAGGCTTTATTTCTTTTGAGACAATAAAGATAACAATTAATGCAAGATCACTGTATTCTCATACTTCTCTTATAATTAAGTCACTGAGTGATCTACTGAACTCTGAACTTTGTGCTAAATATCACCCAAATAACATGCTTATTTTGTCCTCCTTATGGGAATGAGAGTAAACAGAGTGCAAATGTCTTGCCTTGTCTACCTGTTCTTTTGTGTGTGAATGATGAAAAAATATTGATAATGTCACTTTGAAACCGAGGGTGCAGTTCTATGCTGACCTCATTATACCAAATCTTTGGAATGGAAAGGGAAAGCAAATGTCTGCTCTTACTTGCGAGGTGCATTTTAAAACTAAAATGCAAAGGCATTTACAGGCAGGTAGGGGAAATTTTTCCTAGGAAGGTAATGCCAAAATTAAAAATATCTGTATATATATATTTCCCTTTCAGTGATCACAGTTGGGGCCCAACAACTTGCTTCTTAAGTACCAGATGTTCGGTTATGGATTTGGCTGAGCTCTGCAGACCCAGGTTTCTCTAGCAGGACTGCTGCTTGTTAGATTTGCATTTTCATGCAGATGCATTATAGATGATCCATCTGATAACATTAGCTAACACACATGAATATTAAGGCTTAACTTCTTGCTACAAATCATTCTTGTTTTCTCTTTATTTCTAAAATTGAAGGAAATGCTGGTGTAATACCTCTGCCATCCTTTGGTTTCGTGAAGTACTTGTGGATTCAAGTATTTATTTGCTAATGACAGTGAGTCACTCGTAGACAAATGGATCATTTATTTACTTGACTTCCACAAGTTGGCTCAGCTGTTTGTTCTGTGCACTTCCATTCATTTCACTACAATTGTGGGAATAACTCAGGGGTTGTTGAAAGAACAATGTTTTCGATTAGATAGTTACACTGCTGTAGCTGTGCTTGAAAGCTAAACAGATCAGAACCACTGCTGTGATGAGAATGTTCAAAAGGTCATTTTTTAGATGCCAAGAGAAAAGTACAGATGAGCTACCAGCCCTGTGGACAGCATGGCAATTATGGGATGTGGCCTGTGTGTGCAGCAGGGCTGTGGTGGGATGGAAAGCTCCCCATTGCGCCCCAGGGCCCATCCTCCTCATGCAAGCAGGTGCCAGTGGAAAAGACGTGCTGGGTTTGTTGTCCCATGTGTCATCAAGGGGCCATTTTGTTTCAGAATATATGGACAGAACTTAAAGCAAGTCACATGAGGACATGTGGAGGTTGCTCTATGATTACCAAGTAACGATTATGAAGAAGCCACGTGCCAGTGTTAGCAAATGCACTCAGCAGCCATCCGCAGCAGGCATCTCAGCACGATGTCAGGGCGTTGTGTGAGACGTGCCCAATGCAGCACGTGCTCTGCCTGCCCTGGGTTTGAGCTGGGCTGTGCCCCGGGCTGGTCTGGCTGGCAAGAGGTGAGGCTGGGAAAGCCCACAGGCAGCGAAAGCCCCGTCTCACTCAGCACACTGCACCGTCTGATCAGCTGTCTGGTTTCAGTCCTACTCCTTTGAGGTGGGATGCAGTGCAGCCCCTCTCCTCAGCTGGGTGCTGCAGCAGCCATGAGAAAATGGGGTTTTGCCACTTTGTGCCATACATCTCATAGACTGTAACTGAAGCATAGATGGGACGACTTTTAATTTGTATTTTTAATAGGAAGAAGGGTCCTGATAAGACATTCTCCTTTGCTTCTTCCACTTGAAGGTTGATATGTCAGCCTGAAAAAGGCAGATATCATCACTGGAACGACCTCAGTATATTTTTGTTTTAAAGTTGAGTAATACCTCACTTTATTTACATTTATAGGATAACAAGCTTAACAATGGAGTTAAAAACCAAACAAGATGAACTGAAGAACGTGAAAGAAGATTTGCGGTATTTCCAGGAAGAAAAGGAAGCTGCCCATAAGCAATCCCAGGTGCTCAGGTGAAGACCTAAAAAGCTTTGCTCTTGGCAATGCCTGTGGCAAGTGGTCAGCTGAAAAGATTTTTTTAGATGCAAGGAATGCAGTGAGTGAGAAGTGTTTGGAACCATCTCCTGGTTTTGCTTATCCAGGGTATATGAGATGCTGTAGTGCTAGCAGGGGTAACCAGAACATGTGAGTGCTGATATTCTTAGCAGCAGGCTAGCTTTTTCACAACTTGAAAACCATTAAAGAACACTTAGAAGGAAGTGGGTACCTCTTTCCATACAGTGGGGATGCAGACTGCTTACATACTGTTTGTAACAGTTCAGCATGAACTTGCAGAGGCAGTTCTTTAAGCACTGTTGCTCTGATTTCTCAATAAAAAGTAACTGTTTCATTTTTACATGTGAGTTTAAAATCAGTGTTTAGAAGAACATTGAATTTATAGTAAATTTCATCCAACATATTTCATACTGAATTGTAACCCAATATATTATAAAATACGATGTAACAGAAAAGTAGTTGTCAGGCTTACAAGTAAGGTATTTTCTCAAAGCTGCTGTTATTTTTCTGCTTTGCAGAAGTACACTGGAACACCATTGCTCAACTCTGAGCAGGGCTGTCTCTCTGTTTCCTTTCATCAGAAGAGAACTAGAAAGTATTAAGGAAGTTGTGTCCAGTAACCTGGAGAGCTGGGCTGCCCTGAAAGAAGAAATTTTTCAACAAATAAGAACTGTTAGCAAAGAAGCTTTGACAGGTAAATTATGTTGTTGTGTGCTGGCAGGCGGTGAGTTTGAAAACTCAAATTTAAGCTTGAATAACACTTCTGCCTCAGCTGAGAGAGGAGTTTTGCTGGAAAAAAAAATAAAATAGTGTAGTGGCAAACTGCACCATCCAGAGGATCCAAAGAAGCTGTGCGTTGGCTCTTGCAACTTTAATGCCTTTGGTCACACTTTGCATCTTTGTATTCAAATTCTCGCAGCTTTTTAGCGTCTATCAGTAGATAAACCAGTATTTGGTCTGGAGTCTAAGTGTATCAGGATTATAAGGTTGCAAAGTGCTGGTAAGCTGACATCACCTAGCACAGAACTGGTCAGGAAGGTCCTGTCTGCAAAGCCGGCACGCAGAAATCGCTCTGTGGCATCCCTTGTTGTAGCAACAACCAAGGGAAATGTCAGTGTCTTGCACTTTGGTTCATGACTTCATCTCCTAATTAGACTGAGCACAGAAAGTATTGTGTGTTCCTAAGAATTCTTCTCCTCCTGTGTTCCCTGTGTTCTTTCTAGCTAATCAGGAGGATATGTACATGCTTTTCTGCAGACACATTCAGGTTCAAGGAGTTTCATAACATTGCTAAGCAAGGTAGTCATGCATCTTTTTTTCTGCTTCTGAGTGATGTTCAGAAGCCCTTATGCTCTGTTTTATGAGTTAACATTTGGTGACATATGATTGTTTTATTTTGTCTTACTATATTTTGTAACAAGATTTTCAGAGCTTGTTTTTTTTACAAGAAACTGCAAGTGAAGAAATGTTAATGAATTGCTGCTCCTTACGCCTTTGTTTGAAAAAAGAAATTGTGAAACCCATTATGTATGTACATCATTAAACCTTGGTTACTTAATGGCAAGTAAACACAGGCAAAAAACTTCAAACCTTTTGCCATTTACACTGTTTAGTCTAACAATAAATTGATGTAATTGCGGAGTAAGGCTACAGAATGCTGAAGTCCTGAAGCTGAATCAGGCGTGGAGCAAGGGAAGGTGATGATATTGACTTCTATCAGGATATAAACATGCTTGTAAAGGTATTTGTCAATGTATAGCTCAGAAGACAATACAGGGAAGCAGCTTACCCTTTCCAGAAGTCATTGAAGCCTCCTGAAGAGGCAGTCTCCAAATAAAGGTCCTTCTCCTTTAAAAGAGAGTGAACAAGGGTCGCCTTGCACCTGTATGCTTTGTGTTAGCCACAGCTTCTCACCTGCTGCTCAGCCATTGGTTCAGGCCCTCACCTAGCAATCCCTGGGGGTACATCAGGTGAGATGCTTTTTAATGAAGGAGGTAAATTTGACAGCAGGCTATGTGCTTTTTCTCCTCAGAAATACCCAAACTGAATCAAAAGTTAGCAAAATCCCAGAGGGAGAATGAGTGCCTTCAGGAAAAGGTAAAACATCTGACTCTGGTGGCTGATACGGTCGAGCTGAAAACTCAACAGCTTCAAACTTCTCTTCAGCAAGGGAGTGAGCTACAAAGCAGATGCCGTGAGCTACAAAAGGAAACATTAGGTAAGAGAATTTTGAGATTCTAAGCAAATAAAATGAAATGTTGGGTTCTGACCGTTACTGTGACTGTACTCAACAGCTGAACTCAGGCTCTAACAAAGCACTGTTATGTATTTAGGTTAGTATTTCTTGAACCTGGTTTCTTCAGAAAGCAGCATAGTATTTGTGGTGCTGACTCAGAGGTGTTTTAAGGCATTTGGAATGCATAGAGGTGGTGCTGTTCCAGGCATGGCTTTGAGCCATCAAATGGGCACTGTGATTACCATGCCCCCTCATGCACAGTGTGTGATTTCACATCTAAAGCAGTGGCTTTCTGTGCTAGTCACGATGAAGGAATTTCACTGATCCTTCAGTAGCAGTGATAATATCCAACGTGAGACTGAGGAGTGGAAGACTGCAGTGACTGTGGAAGACTCATCCAAAGAGCTATCGACCCAGACTGCCATGGGCAGGTTTTATTTCTGTCACTGTATAACAATGCTGTTAGGAAAGCTCCAGCAGGGGTGGATTTGAATGCCAGCTATGAGCAGATAACTTTACAGCCTTCACCTTATTGCCTTTTTGTGGTACAGGCTCTCACTGTACTGAAAATTGCTCAAGCAGGCAGAATCAGTCAGAAAACAGTCAAGGTGACTGGCTCAAAACCAGCACCAGAGTTGCAGATCCTGCAGTGTAACCTACAGCAATCATTTATTGCAGTTAATTAAGCTTTCCTTTCTCTGCTAGAAGGGTAGCACTTATAGAAGGAAAGTTTGATGTTTTTCTTGTGCCATTCGAAGAAAGCGTCCTAAAGTTCTTTAGGACAGCAACCTGGATGTTCCACTGGAAGTGCTGATAAATGGCAGTTATTTACAAGTTATCTGAGGTGACTGTCCCAGGTTCTTTGAACAGAGCCCATGTAGCAGTGCTTTGGTACCTGCTTGTGACTTGGTTGCATAGTGGCATGTTTTGATCGTGTTGTTACTCCTTTTGCCCTGATACCTGACTTCTCTGTTATATATAGCCAAAAAAATTATTTTCACTTTCTTTTTAGGAATATTGTATGCTCTAACTTTGTATAAATAAGCACAAATAGTGGTAAGATGTCAAGCAGTTAGGCCATTTATTATTGGTCTTTGTCTAGAAATCTGAGTGGGTGTACAACCTGACTGCCATGGGGAAAACACGATTGCATTTGACGTGTTTTTCTAGTACAAAAATTAGTAGCAATAAAACAATCTCAGTGCAGGAAAAGCTCCTTCTCAGGCGCACTCTGACATTCCCTTTGTGTTGAAATGCCTTTTAATTTTTCACACAAAAGAAGAAACTTGTGGGTGGCACAAGTTAAACTTCCACTGCTGCTGTGCAGCCTGTTGCAGTTCCTTCCTTAAGCAAGCACTGAGAACAGCTGTGCTTGCGGCGTTCAGGACTGAAGATTTTTCTTGTTGTGAGGTGCCACGTTCAATAAATCTAAGATGATCTTGCTCATTGCTGGGTGAAGTGGCTGTATGTGGGCATGTGAGAGTTTCAGTGATCTCAGTTGTTGTTCACATGCATTCTTGGGAGCTGGAATGTTGGCACTCTCTGCTGCTAAAGTCTGAACTCCGGTCAGTTTGGAGTCCTGGCCTTACTGCTGAAAGATGGCACGGTTCAAAGCACGGTGCAGGAACTCCAGCAGCAATTACAGGACAGTCTGTCTTCCTTACATGTCTCATCCTGATCCAGGACATCCTCGGGCCTAATAGGACAGTCTGTTAAGCCTTGAAATATGTGGCTTAATATCCTTACGTAAGATATTTGTATTGCCACATTTATACTGGCATGAGAACTACCCAGTGTTACAACTGGAGTACCCTCATCAGTTTTGTAAAGCTGTTTGCTTCAGAAATTCCTGTTTCATGTTGGTTTCATGTTTAGATGCATTGTAAAGATAAATTTTCTGCTTTTTCCTCATTTTTTAAAAAAAAACCTCTATGCAGAATTGCTTTGTTTTATGTTAGAAGATGAGAGGAGGTTGCTCACAGTCAACTTCTTTTATTTTGTGGTGTTTGCATGGTGCTGCAGCCTGTATTCTCAAAATCTGGAATAGTTCCTTAAGTTTCTGCTCTGCACTGGAACTTCACTCCAAGCAGTGATATTTACTTTCTAGTTCTTAATGCATAACATAGTGCACTAACTGTAGTGTAGAAGTGCCACATCGTGAGCAGGTTCAGACTAGTTCGTGCAAAACACAGCAACTCTGTGCTCAAAAAGAGTGCATCTTTAAGCTTGCAGTGAAGCTTCTGATCTAGTGGCCCAGCTCTGCTCTTTGGATCTTCCCATGTATTCTTGTTTGAGTCTACCACGATTGCTCAGCATTTCCTATGAAAAGAATGTGGTTTTCAATGGCTTTGAATGTTGCCAAACTTATTGTTTTTCTAATAAAAATGGACGTAGCTTTCACGAGAGCAAGACAGGTGGGAAAGTTATTGGATTTCATGTTTTATTATGCAAACTTTGTTGAAAAACACATGAACTTTCTGTTCTCTGAGAAAGGACTTTGGGACTGGGAGGTTTTAAAGTGTTCTTGACATAGAGGACCAAGTTAAACTCGCGTTCAAGCCTCTGGAAACATTAAATACCAATTTGTTACTGTGGTGGCCAAGCTCTGTTTGATGTTCTGGCTGCAGAGCACTGGGCTGAGCAGTGCTTTCCCATGCACTGTTTGTTCAAGTGTCCCTGTGGCTGTCTGTAAATAAAGCTCACACTGAGCAGGGAGATGTGAGCCTTGAGTAGCTGGGGTTTCTTCATCCTGTGGGGGGAGGGAAGCAGCATGGCATGGTAATATAGGGCTCACAGAGGGGCCGGGGGCTATGTGCTGAAAGCAATAACTCTGAGTAAGGCAGCTGTGCTGCGTGGTAGCTGGGAGGAGGGTGCTCACAGCTGCGTGTGTTGAGAAAGCCAACGCATGGGTGGCTGTGGGCAGCATCCTCATCTATACTGCAGGCACAGTGCTGCTCCTGGGCATTGTGCTGGGCCAGGGGGGATGGCTGCCAAACACTGTGTTTCCCTTCTCCCTCTGGCCTGGCTCCAGCTGATCCTTGGTGGTGTTCTGTTGCACTGTGTATCCTTAGCTGAGCAACAGCTCCCACGTCTTCTCAGGGGCTTCAGAGTTCAGTTTCCATTCCTCGTTCGCCCACGAGTTGAGGAGGGCAGTTGTGCCGCTCGTGGAATTTGGCGTTAATATGGACAGCTATAGATCTCTGGGTGTGACAAGAAACAAACTGGGATTTATTGAACTAAATTACTGCTCGTCATTTTGATGTAATCTAACTGAAAGTGAGGACGTGACCCTTGGAAGAAAAGGCCTGAAACATTGGAATATTGTGACAAGATTTTATCCGTGTTTGTTAAACCTTTTCCCCTGTTAGCATTGATAGGAGACGTAACCATGAGCTGACATCTGTGGTTTTGTTATTTAAAAAAAAAAAAGCAACTGTTGTTTTGGTGTTGTTTGTTGATGTGCATTCCAAAGGAATATTTTGGAAGCTGCGTTTCTGTTTATGTGGCGACGGAAAGCATCGTGTTGCTCAGGGCTGCTGCCTCTCCCAGGAAGTGCACCGTCCACAGCCTCTCCTCTCACGCTGTTTGTAAAGATGTTTCCAGACATGAAGGGTTTTTAGACAAAAAGAAACAAAAACAGCCTACGTAATGGGTTCACTCCAAAGTTATCTCAGAGGTTGGTGTGACTGGATCCTCCAGCATCTGGGCAGCAGAATGCTGAGCAGAAGGGTCACTGTGACCGCTGCTCAGAATGCTGTGCTGCTCCCCTCCGTGGTTGTTGCTTCCCTGTGTCAGGTTTTGTTTTCAAACTGCGTGTAGTACAAGTTTGAAGTAGCAGACGTTTTGTGGAGAAAACCTGAATAAGTGGTGCATGGAGTTCAAAGAGCAGTAGGGCTCTGAAAAATATTATTGCAGAGCTAAAATCTCAGCAATGAACGTCAATGCATTAAGCGAGGCGTTCTTTTCTGTTAATAACAAAAAGGTATCAGTTGTTTCATAATGAATCCACTATTAATAGGAAATAAAATGTGGATATCCAGAAGTTTTCATGGCAAAAAACCTGCTTGCACGCACATTTTTGTTCTGTCCTTCTCAAATTGATTGGTAGAGCACAAATCCATCAGCAGGCAGAGGTCTGTCCCTGGACCACGTTGTAAGGTAAAGTGGGCTAACTCACGATGGCAAAAATCAGTTTGCTTTTTTGAAACAGAAAACATGTTTTTAATTGTGAAACAACCATCAGACATCTTTCCATTGTATTAATAACTTGATAGGAATAAGCAGCACGTTTTTATTGCCATGCTTGATCTCAGTGCAAGTTACTTCTAGTTAGTAGGTGTGTACTGCATCGGTGTGTCAGAAATCAGTCAGATCTGCAGTGCCTGGGTCTCCTGCTTTTCTTTTTTCCTCTAACTTCCTTTTCTCCACAAACTGTTGATGCTGATATTCCGGTTTTGGCTCTGTACTGAAATAGTTCAGTGCTCCAAACAAACAAAGAAACACACGGAAAGCCAACCCAGCAGGATGCGTTGTTTGCATGTTCTGAAAGGATTCTCGTTTCTGCAAACAACGCTTTGAAAATTCCTGCTTTGTCTATTTGTGTTAAATCTTAAAATATTGCATATTTCACGTGGTGGCAGTCGTTTGCAAGAACCGAAACCAGCTCGTAGTTTCTCCCCTTGTTTCGTGGTTCTTGTGACCTTTATGAAAATCACCTGAATGAGTTACATTTTGCTGGAGGTGTGATTTGATGTGTGATTTCGTACCACTTAGCAGAGTCATGGTGCACTGTTGGTTAGCGAGAGCTGGCAGGTCTTGCAAAATGCTGAGCTCCGAGCAAAGCCTGGTGAGCAGTTGTCTGATCAAATAGGCTTCAAAGCACCCCAAAACCCAATAATGCGCTGTGATGGTGTTGTCTATATTCTTGTGGTTGGGAGCAGTGGAGGAAGTGCAATAGCATGTGCTGCTAAAAGATAGGTTCT